ATTTCATATAGTCAACAGGTATTAATCATTGATGTGACAGGCTCTGGGAATACTTTAATAGATTAAAGTCCTTTCTTTAGTAGATTTCACATTAGTGCCAGATTAGGTGGGGTGAGGAGACTAGTAGTACATATGGAAATGAAAAGAAGTTAAGAGACTTATTAGTCTGTTTCAAAAAAAGAACAAGCTAATTTGAGGGTAACTAAGCTGTGAGAAGTCTACTTTAACTCATCACAACCACTGTAAAGTTGGTACTGGAAACCCATCTGACATGAAGAAACACTTCAGTGAGGGTAAGTGACTGGCTAAAGATCATATAGTTAGTAAAAGCTTACCTGGGTTAAAAAATAAACAGTTTTCACTGGCTGTGGTGGCACGTACCTGTAATCTCAACACTTAAGAGACTGAAGAGGAGGATCACTGTGACTTTGAGGCCAATCTGGACTCCATAGTGAGGCCTATCTCAAAAACAGTGAACCAAACCAAAAATAACCCCATTAGTTGGTGGTAAATGGAGAATGATTTTTAGATTTAGAAACTATTTAAAGCACAGTACCTTATTCTTTCCTTTTTCTTCTTGAAATAGGTTGTTGAAGTATAGAAAAAGACTTTTAATTTACAGATGGGTTTCTTGAAGCCAGTGGAATTGTATGCATATACGTGCATTTTTCCAGATTGAGGGTTCATAGCTGTCATCAGATCCTGAATATGGTTTGTGATTGTAGCAAATGCACCATAAACACATTGGATTCTCATGAATTAGGCAGCACTAAGATTTGCTTTGTGTCTCCCACAGCACTACCTTGTTCCCTACCTGCTAAACTCCTTCCTCTGAAAGGAGGTAGGAAGAAATCAAACATTTATTTTGTTGGGTTTGACATAAATTTTATCTCGACATAAAAAAGTTACATTTACCTACAAAAGTAGTTTTTATTTACAAATAGTATGAGTTAACAATTCAATTCATAGTTCAGAGTTTGAGTCAACTCTGGTTCTTTCAGTCAGTCTCCATTTCTTGAGCATTCCTTGGGACTGAGCCCAGAGGCTCGTACTTGCTAGGCAGGTGCTCCACCACTAGACTGTTCTCAGCCCTTATTAATTGCCTTTTAAAAGGTTGTCTCTTGGGGCTGGGGATTTAGCTCAGCGGCATAAGCACCTGCCTTGCAAGCAGGCAGTCGTGAGTTCGATCCCTGGTACCGGTAAAAATGAAAAAGACCAAAAAAAAAAAAAAAAGGTTGTCTCAGTTATTTTCTTATTGCTGAGACAAAATACCCAACAGCTACAAGTTAAGAGAGAAAAGGTGTATTTAGCTTAGGAAACGTGTTTATAGAGATTTATAGAGATTTAAACAGTTTATAGATATTCCAGTTCATACTGGCTGGTTCCATGGCAGGGTGGCATGGCAGAAGGGCATTGCAAACAAGAAACAGTTCATGGCAAAGCAGCAAGCAAAAGTCAGCAAGCTACCAGCAACGACCCTCTTTCTGTCTCTCATATCTTAACCTTAGAGTGGGTAGCACTCACACCCTTAATGGCTCTTAATCCTAGCATCGCACCATGAATCAATCCCAGAATCACACACCCCAGATCCAGCCACCTTCAAAAAGCCCCACCTATGACTGATGAGGTTTTGGGGGGACATCTATGAACTGTAAAATAGCTTCGCATAACAGAATAACCGAAAAGTATTTTTCAAACGGACCAAAACTGCATCCCTAAAATGCAGAGTATTTCGTTCTAAGATACATAAATAATATAAGCTGCTTGCCACCTATTTAATATCTAACATTGATTGCAAAACTAACTGAAATCTAACAGTGTATGTATTTGAAATCTACCAGTATGTATTTGAAAGAAGGTGCTAAAGTTATGTTAGAAAATCTGTGTAGAGGAGATGTAGAACTTTTGGAGATGTAGGACTGTGGATTTGTTAACCAAAGGTAATTGCTCGTACTCATAAGGAATTGGACAGAAATGGTAGGAACTTTAAGGAATTTGAACTCTCTGATTCCAAAATATGTGCTCTCACTTTATATTCCTAGCACATGTCTTTGAAACTTGGACAAATTCCAACATTCTCAGTGCTTAGGTCATATTCAAGTCAGTTTCTAGGAGTGAGACCTGAGTGTCTTGATGTGTTTAAAGTTCCCCAGAGTATTTCATTGTTACGAGACAGAGAACTACTGCTCTGACTCAGTGACTGGAATATAGCAGATACTCAATGCGGTAAACCCATCGTTGTTGAAACAGTACATCCCTGAGTAGCCAACTGCTCTGTTACAAATCTTTTCAGTATTATAGCCAACCAAAAATGCTTTTGTAGTAACTTTATTTCTTAAAAGTGCTTTATAGATATTCTCCGTCCAATCCCATGGCATGTATAGGACGATGTCTGGCAGGAGGTAATGTTTTATTGCTAATAGAATTCCGAATTCTGTCCATTAACAGGAAACAAGGGAAAACTTGGGATTTCCCTCTATTTCTTGCCCAAGACATAGTTTGAAAATAGAGAAGCTGGGCATTGTGGTACATGTCTGTAATCCTAGCCATGGGTAAGGCTGAGGTAGGATCCTCACAGGGTGAGGCCAATGTGGGCATCTTATGTTTGACCTAATCTCAAAATTTTTAAAAAAATGACTTGGGATCTAATTCATTGTTAGAGAACTGGCCTACCATGTACAAGACCCTGGAGCAATCCTCTGTATTACATACACACACACACACACACACACACACACACACACACACAAAGATAATTGTCAATTATTTTTGTTTTAAAATTTATATTTTTAATACAGTCAAAAAGCAGAAGGCAAAAAGGAATATATATTGAAAAATTTCCCTCTTGCCTGGTATGGTGGCACAATCTTGTAGTCTGAGGTACCTGGGAAACCAAGGCAGTAGGATCACAAGTTTACAGACAGCTGAATGAGTTCAATGCCAGGGCTGCGGAAAAAAAAGAAATTTTTAAAATTTACATGTATTTCCTAGTTTTACACAAATGTTATATGAATCTTTTTGGCTTTTTACTTAACAGTTTATTTTGGATTTGTTATGTATCCATGTATGAAGAAATATAGGGGCCAGGGATTTAGCTCAGTGGCACAGTGTTTGCCTGGCAAGCATGAGGATCTGAGTTCAATTCCCAATACCAAAGGAATTTTATCAGTATATAATCTCTTCCCTTTTACAATGAAATGTTTCTCAGTGTACCACAATTTCATGGGTCCCTTGCCGATGGGTATATAAGTTGTTTGCAACTTTAAAAAGAAAAGATCCTACATGACTAGATAAGGCATTCCATTTCTGTGTAAGCAGGCCTTCAAACAAATTCCTAGAAGTTCAAGATACTCCACTGATAGTTCAGATTTACCATCTGTGAGGGTTGTATATTAACTGGTTAGGAAATGATGAAAACCTGAAAGAGCATGAGAGATTAAAGCTGGGAAGAAGTAAAGTGACTACGACTGAGTATAGAGGGAGTGATTTTTTTCCAATCGGATTTTATTGGTAAATTTTAGATATACATAATGATCATATTCATCATAGAGAATTTGTACCTGTATATGGTATAACTTCTTTTTCCCCCGTTCTCCTAACCTCTCTTCAATACCTCTTCCCTCCCTATTTACAAAAACTTTATTTCCATTTTTCCTTTTCTCATTTTTTTACTTTCCCTCTTTCCTTTTCCCCGCCTCCCTCCTTTGCTCCCCTCCCCATTTGAACGTTTTCTTCCTGTTTCAAAGTACTTGTTATACATTTTGCCCCTTATTTACACTTTTGGTTTCTCACACCAGAGAAACAATGTAGTATTTACACATGTGTATCCAATTTATATCACTTAAGCTTATGGTTTCAAGGTTCATCCATTGACCTAGAAATATCTCAAGCTTATCCTTTATGGCAGAGTAGTACTCCATTGTATAAAAAAAAAAACCCACATCTTTATCTGTTCACCAGCTGTTGGGCATTTGGGATGTTTCCAAGATTACAAACTGCGGGGGCTGGGGATTTAGCTCAGTGGCATAAGCACCTGCCTTGCAAGCAGGCGGTAGTGAGTTCAATCCCTGGTACCGATAAAAAAAAAAAAATTTAAAAAAAAAAGATGCTAGGAGTATTTGAGAATATTACTCCTATGAAGGGTGTGCATATACTTCTCTGGTATGATGCGTTTAATTCTTTTAGGAAGATTTCAAGGAGGGGAATAGTTGGGTCAAATGGAATGTCTAGTCCTAGTTTTTTGAGAAATCTCCATGCTGATTTCTACAGTGGTTGTACCAAGCTGCACTCCCACAAACTGTAGAAAGGTTCAGAAGGAATGATACTAAGATAAGTCTATAACGTTGGTCAAGAAGAAGACTTAGCAGATTTTGTGGTATGTGTATATATACAGAATTTATAATTAAAATAAAAAGTTTTTACTCGAATCTATATTTGAACTTATGTAAGCATTTTTAATGTCTTTGTGAGAAAATACTTCTTGGTACAGGGTCTCACTGTGCAGTTCAGGCCGACCTTGAACTCAATGTAGAGCCTAGGCTGGCCTCCAACTCACAAAAATCCTTCTGCCTCAGCCTCCCAAGTGCTGGGATTACAGGCAAATCCCACTATACCCAGCAAGAAAATACTTTTGACTGTGGTGGTGCACTTCTATAATCCCAGAATGCTGGGAGGCTGAAGTAGAACCACAAGTTCAAGCCCAGCCTCAACAATTTTGTGACTTAGTGTAACCCTCTCTCAAAATCAAAAATTGAGAAACAGGTGGAACTGTAGGTCAGCGTAAATGTCTTGAATTCAATCTCCGGTAGCACAAGAAAGAAAGAAAAAAAGGAAGTAAAGGGAGGGAAGATAAGAGGAAGGGAGGAAAAAGAAAAGAAAGAAAATACTCTTGCTATTTTCATTTCACATGTACATTTAGCATTTTTAATCACATTTTATCTTCTCATGTATAACTAAGTTTTACTTACAATCAGTCTTTTTCTCTCACTCCTTCCCCTTAGTCCTGGAAGAAAGCGGGACTTTTCCCCTGTTCCTTGGAGTCAGTACTTCGAGTCCATGGAAGATGTGGAAGTAGAGAATGAAACTGGCAAGGATATATCCTTTGCAAACTAGTTTATTTATAAGCTTATGATACTGTCTAAGCAGACTGTGTGGTACAGTTATCTAAATGTTGTTTGTTTCTGCTGAATATTTCATTTTATTTCCTACATGTTCTTTGTATAGCATGTTGTATCACTTGTATGTTTTTGCCATTATCCTTAGTGATAACTGTCTAATTATGGGGACAGAATTAAGAATTAAATTCCTGAGACTAATTAATCTCTTTTTTTTATTAATTAATCTCTTGATGCCCAAGTAAAAGTTTCATGAGTTAAGTGACTTGAAATGATTTTGTTTCCAGATATCAGGGACTATGTCTTCAATAGGTAAGAGTGAACACTTCGCTTTTTTTTCATTTAAATAACATGGTCATTCTACCTCTAGACTTCAAAAATGGGGAGTTGGTATCTCAAAAATGTGTATTTAACTTTTTGTTGACAGTCAACAACTGTGTGTGCAGTTTGATGCTACTTGGATTTTTTAGTCAGTATTATTATGAGTAATCAAAAACTTGAATGAGAAAAAACTTAAATATGTTATCTTTAACAATTCATACACTTTTCGAGTTTATAAGAGTGGCTCTGAGGGTCCAGTTCTGCTCCTTCTGCATGGAGGAGGCCATTCTGCCCTTTCATGGGCTGTATTCACGGTAAGTAATGACGGTAGAGGTTGATTTTAGTGTAATCATTGTTTACTTCTGATGGATTTGACTAGCCTGACTCTTCTTTCTGTGCTCAATTTGCTTGATTTTTAGAAGTTAAGAGATGGAGTGGATTTCAAATATTTATTATATAGGCGTAAGATTACCTGTTCTTTAAACCAGAGGTTATTAGGTGAGGTGGGCCTTAGTGCCCTCAAACAGTTTATAAAACTGTGTATGTATGTATGTGCATTGAGATGAGAGGCACAGAATTTGCCTTCTCAAAAGCAGTGGTTTGTATCTCAGCCATTTTAAGTAAATAGATGAAGTAGACTTTAAATTCAGATGCTTTAGATAATATCTTTCACTTTTATCTCTTTCTTAGAATCTCTTTGGTGCCTTGCATAAGGAGGTGTATCATAAATATTTGGAAAATGTTTCTTGTTTTTGAAGTGATGCTTTGTATTTTTATGGCATCTGTGAGCTACTGGCAGTAAACAATATTTGCTGGTGTACTCTGATGTAGAGTGGAAGATAAGTGTTTGTGTGAATGCTGCCAGATACAGATCATCCTGATATCCTTGGATCTGGAGTGAGGCAGCCCTTGTTTAAGGACAAGTACTTCTCAGGAAGATACTAGGAACACCCTTGTTTAAAATGAAGCCATCATCTCTTTATGTGTGTATTGAGTAATTATACTGCCTCTGTTTACCTTTGTGGGGACTAAAGGACAGAAAAGGGAAAGAGCAGATTGCTGTGAAATTGAGGAAGACCAGAAACATATTAATGTTCCTGCCAGCAGGGATTATTAGGATTACATGTAAAATCACCTCCTCATCTCTTATATTAGACCACAAATTCCTTGAAAATAGGGATGATGTCTTTTTCCTTTTTGCTTTCCAAATGCTTTGAGGTAGTTCTTGACACACAGGCCCTTATTCAACAAATTAATGAATGATTTGACCCTTGTTTGTTATTTTCTTTCTTACTATAAGATAAGCTATATAATTTGCCAATCAATACCGGCTCTCTCATCAATAGAAATATAATGCAAGCCACATGTATAATCTTAAATTTTCTAGTAGATACATTAGCTGGGTAAAAAGAAACAGGTCCAATTAATTTTAATAATACATTTTATTTAACCCATTGTATCCAAAATACTTCAAAAAGTAACCAAAATAAAATTTATTGACATGTTTGTTAGTCCATTTTTTGTTGGCAGCAACACAATACAGTGGCCCTTGACTTAAGAACTCAGTTCATTTGTGAGGGCTGGTTGTAACTTAAGTTGGTTGAAAGTCAAGACTTCTTTTCCCATTAGAAATACTGGAAATACCCATGAGGTATTCTGAACCTCCTAAAGAACTCCTTTCATAATAAGACCTTTTCATAATAAAAAAAAGGTCATATAATGTGTATAATTTATCATAAACAATAATTTTTTTAGTGTATTCATCAAAAAGATATAAAATGTGCCTAGTTTACCAAAAATAACAATTTCATACTGTACTCACCATTCCAGTTGACATCTTTGGCTTGCAGGAAGGGGGGAGGATGAAATGGAAGGTGATGTGATTTGGAAAGAGAATCCCCTTCTACAAGAACATGAGGCATCTGGCCTTCTGGTGACCTTTCCTTCCTTGGGAGAGTCTGTAGTTCACTAGGAACTGCTTTTGGCTCACTAGGTTTCAACTTGTTTACAACTAAAAATTAATCTAAAGTTGTCTTTGTTTTTTCTTAATGCTGTTCTTTTCTATTGTGATTGTTTTCTTCTCTTCCTTCCTTAGCTTCTTTGCTAGCTTTTTTGGGGCCATTTTGATAGGAATTGTAGTGATTATATAAACCACTAACTGAAATCGCATCCACAAACATGTGCATCTGGACTTAGACTGATGCTTATGTACACTTACATATGCTTTTATGGCACTGTGATCTTTATAGCTGCACAAGCTGCTGGAATTTGGGTTATAACTCAAGACTTTGGTCATGAGTTAAACCTGAAATTCCATTTGTAACCCAAGTTGTTCATACATGAGGCCAGTCATAACTTGAGGATACACTGTACGACAGACTAATTGAGTTACAAAAGAGGTTTATTTTTGACTTAGAGTTCTGAAGATGCAAGATAGTGGGACCACATTTTCTTGGTAGCCTTCTTGCTACAGATTTCTGAGACAGTACAGGGCATCACATGTCATGAGACAAGGAGTGTGTGTGTGTGTGTGTGTGTGTGTGTGTGTGGTCCTTCATTGAAAGCCACCAGAATTTACATCATGAGAGTTCTGCTGTAATGATTGTATGTAATCCTTTTATTTTTATTTTTCTGTTTTAATTTGTTTATGTTGAGAAAGGGTCTTACTAGGTAGTTCAGACTGGCCTTGAACTTACTAGGTAGCCCAGGCTGGTGTCAAACTCACAGCAATCCTCCTGCCTTAGCCTCTAAGTGCTAAATTGATAGGCATGCACCACCATGCCTGGATGACAGTATGTGATTCTAATCATTTTCAAAAGGACTCATCTTTTCTAAACACTATACTAGGATCGAATTTTCACCCCCTGAATACCTTACAACAGAGACTGAATTTCATTCAACACATGAAGCCTTGAGGGTCTGTAATAGAAGGCTGAAAGGTTTGCGTTGAAAGGTCAAAGAGTTCGCACAGCAAGGCTAAAGATTCTGCACTGGAAGCTGAGAGACAGGTGCCTCAGGTGAAGGCAAAAACTGAAGCTCCTCTGAAGAAACCAAAATGAGCTTGCCTTCCTTCTTTCTCCTTTGTATTCCATTCAAGCTATAAGCTTATTGATGGTGCCACTCATACCCATGGTGGATTTTTTATTTTCAGTAAATCCACTCAGTTACACCCTGAAATAAACTAAGCCAATTAGGCATTTCTTACTCAAGTTGACACAACAGTTAACTATTACATAATATGTTGTCTATTGGAGAAATAATGCTGCTGAGAAATAATGTGTATACTGTAGTTGCTGGGTAGAATAGATCTCTATTAAGTCCATTTGCCAGACAATTTGGTTGAACTTTGATATTTCCTTGTTGATTTTTTTGTCAAATTAATCTATTTGTGACAGTGGGGTATTGAGATCACCTACTATTAATTGTGTTGATGTTTATCTGATCTTTTATGTTCAGTAGTACTTGTTTTATGAAGTTGGGTGTACAATTATTTAGTGCCTATATTTTTTTTTAATCTTATATAAGGAGAAAAAAGAAAAAAAAACAGAAAAAGGGTACAAGTTATACAAAATTTCAGAAAAAATAAACAGGAAATCACTAGTTAATAGATTACATATTGTCATCTTAGAAATAGTTGTTCAAGTTACAAAATTAAAGCATATAGAGTGGACATTCAAACAATGAGACCGCAAACAGTTCTGTTCAATGTTCCAATGAAACGTGGTAATATGGTTACCTGTCTTATAGACTTAAATATACATGCAGTTATGTCCTTTAGAGCACTTTCTTTTCCTCTCTTTTGTACAATGACAATTACACATTTTGGGTTTTATTACTCCCACTGTTCTTATTTTTTTTAAGAAAGTAAAACCAAATGTGACATAATAGGACAGAGTCAGTCAAATCAAAAGAATGCACATAATACATAATGTAAAAACAAAATATAAGGTGTTCAACAATGGTTACCATAATGCCTCTTGCTATCTTAAAAAGAATTGCCTATATCATCAGTTATAATAAAATTGAACAAAACAGTAAAGAACAAGACCAATAAAACCAAAACATTGGAGACATTAGAGGACTTCAAAAGAAGATAATAGCCAACCAGAATGGGCATCATAATGAATCTTACTGTCTTCGTAGTTGTTGTCTATACTTTCGAACTTAGTACTATCAAGCATAACAGAAAAGAGGAAAATCAGTCAAAACAAGATGGTGAGAGCAATACAGGGTTTCAAATCAAGTTAATAGGAAATCAAAGTGGGTTGCTATAATATATCCTGCTATTTTTTATTTATTTTTCCCTTAATTAAAAGGATGAAAATGAAAAAGTGGATAATAAAAAGGAGATTGAGATAAAAAAAAAAAAGAGGGCATAACAACAAAACAGCGCAGGTCAAAACATAGCCATTTAAGCAAAATAGTGTTTCACCACAAGATAATCTCGACATAAAAGTAGTTACCATAGTGTCTCTTTCCTTAAAATCTTTGGATATAACTTCGTATACTGTAGCATCAAACATATCAAGACAATGTAAAACCGTTCAAGAGAATGACAGTATTACAAGGTATTTAGAATCAACTAACAGAAAATGAACAATGGTTTCTGTATAATCTCCTTGTCTATAAAAGTTTTTGTTTATATTATCACATATAATACAATCCAGTGAGATACAACAGGTTAAAAACTGATGGAGACAGAAGAACAAAAGCTTGATGGGACTTCAAAACAAGATGATATTAAATCAGCACCACCTATTATGATGTCTTGTTTTCTCCAAAATGGCTGTTCCTACCATCCAACCTACTCTGCCTCATTTCTGTTGAGCTCTTTTTCTGTCATTAGTTGTCAGTTTGTCTTTTTTTTTTTTTTTTTTTTTTTTTTGTCTTTTTCGTTTTTACCGGTACCGGGGATCAAACTCACGACTGCCTGCTTGCAAGGCAGGCACTTATGCCGCTGAGCTAAATCCCCAGCCCCTAGTTTGTCTTCTTCATTTCACTTTCTGCTCCATTTATTGTGTCCTTTCTGCTACTCTTTCTGGAATCTTGGTATTTTTCTTTTTTAGAATGTCCTGCAGTATTCTCTGTAGAGTTGAATTGGTGGTTGCAAATTCCCCTAGTTCCTCTTTATCCTGGAAGCACCTTGTTTTTCCATCAATTTCTAGGGACAGTTGTGCAGGATATATCGATCTTGGCTGGAGGTTATTATCTTTCAAAGCTTGAATTATTTCCCCCCACGCTCTTCGTGATTTGATGGTTTGTGCCGAGAAGTCTGCTGTAATTCTGATGGGTGTTCCCTTGTAAGTGATCTGTT